GCCTGATGCCGGCACAATCTGCCAACAACCACATTCACTTTGAGTCATCAAGCATGACAATTACACTGAATTTCTTTTAAAAACCAACGCTTTCAGAACATCTAGTCCCTAATAAACCCACTTCCAATATTTCCTATTTTTTATCATCAAGCCGACGGGCCGACTTGGCTCAGCGGTAAACTCACTTGCCGTGCGGTCTGAGATCACGAGTTCGAATCAATCTCTCTGCATAAAAAGTAGGGGTAAGGCCGCCTAGCAAACCAACCAAATGTGATTCCACTTTAAAACAGTAGTTTTAGCACATATCAGATACCCAGTTCGCAAGTTTTCTTCTCTAGCTCACAATGCAAGAACACTAAGATTAATTAGAACACCAAGCATTAGCAAAGAACAGCAGAGAGAGACACAGACCTTGCTTGTAGCATCGGGAGCGAATTTGTCAGCAACCACAATGTCTGTAGGTAACAAAAGAGAGACTCCTTTGGCCTTAGCCTTCTCAAGGAGTGATGTCGCCAAATCAAGCTTGTCTTCCTCTACAAGGGATGAACCAACGGAGAGACCTTGTGCCTTGTAGAATGTGAAAATCATTCCACCACCGAGTAGAAGGATATCACACGTCTCGAGAAGTGACTCAATAACTCCAATCTTGGATGAGACCTTGGAACCACCAACAATGGCAGCAAATGGTCTCTTAGGGTTAGAGACCGCCCCAACGAGGTAGTCCAGCTCCTGGAACAATATAAGGCAAGAAAGAGTGGTTTAGGTTAAGTGGCAAGAGGAGACCAGGATTTTCCAATCACAGCCTATTTCTATTAAAAATCTCACCTTCTGCAGAAGGAAACCAGCAACTGATGGCTTCAAGAACTTTGTGACTCCCTCGGTTGAAGCGTGGGCTCTGTGAGCAGTCCCAAAGGCATCGTTGACAAAAAGGTCAGCCAAGGAAGCGAGCTTCTTGGCAAACTCAGGCTCGTTCTTCTCTTCTTCCTTGTAAAACCTCACATTCTCAAGAAGAAGAACTCCGCCTTCAGGAAGGGAAGCCACCAAGCTTTCAACATCGGGACCAATACAGTCATCAGCCTTCACGACCTGTCATTCACCCCATAAACCTCTTAGATTGGAAGATGATAGTGAAACGAATCCTAGTCTAATAGAGAAACATGGAATACCTGAATACCGAGGAGCTCGGAAAGCCTGGGAACAAGAGGGGCCAAGCTGTACTTTGGTGTCACACCCTTTGGCCTTCCCTGAAAGGATCAAAACCATAAGTGCGTGTGTGTTAGAAACAAAGAACCCAGAATTGGCTCTCAAGTCAAGTTTACTGATAATTGTATCAGTAGTAAGCAGACTTCATTTATGAATCCAAGTACAAGCCAAAACACTTAAAAATCGAATCTTTGCAGTAAGTTTTAGGATCACGATCAATTGGCTGACAAACAGATCAAGATTGCAGGACTCAGTTGGCATCTCATAATGAACTGATCAATCTATGGGGATATGCAACGAAGGCCCACGTACCAGATGACTGGAAAGGATGACTTTAGCGCCGTTCTCGATCAAATACTTGATGGTGGGGATGGCGGCGCGGATTCTGGTGTCGTCGGTGATGTTCTGGCTGTCATCGAGAGGTACATTGAAATATGTACAATTACGCTATTGCCCCCCATGCCTCGACGGCTGAACACATATAATGGGCTGGAACAATTTTAAAATTATATAATGAGATGGGCCGTTTCACACTATCAAATGAGCCTGAACTCTTCTTCGCCATGGTAACCACTGCCCTCGTCCCCTTCCCGCGCACGGAGCTGATTTTAGAGGCAACGTGGGCGGAGAAGCGGGAGTCGACGACGGCAGAGAAGCCGAGGCGGCGAGAGCTGGCGGTGGGAACAGGCAAGAGCGAGGCGCGTGCGCGGGTGGAGGGGGAGGAAGAGGCGCCGCAGCCGGGGGACTTGAGGGAGAAGGTGGTGCTGGCGGCGGCGGACGCCATGAGAGAGAGAGAGAGTTGAACGAAGGGTAGAATAGAAAGAGAGAGAAGGAGAAGCGGGGGGAGGAGGAGAAAGGGAGACACAAATAAGGAGGAGAGAGAGGGGGAAGATATTGTCTTATCGTGGATGAGAGGTTGAAACACTCCGGTCTCCACTTCACTCGTCTTGATCCATACGCGACCATTGCATCCATCTTTATATATTCCTCCCTTTCTTAATTCTAATACCCTTACATTTGCCGCTAATTTAGATATTTCTTTGCCAAATAAAATACATTGAAAAGCTAGAAACGCTTCGAAGGGATGAGGCAGAGAGGGTGCTTCAACAGAATAGTCTGAGAGTACTTCTCCGACATGTCCATGCTCTCCGGAGTCACCCCCTCCGGCAGCTCCCACTCATACAAATACAGAAGATTCGCCACTACCGACTCCACCATCGCCACCGCGTAGTTCAGCCCCGGGCATATCCTCCTCCCGAATCCAAACGGTACATACTTGCCGTTTGTGCCCTGAAACTCATACTCCTCCCCCTCCATGAACCTCTCCGGCATGAACTCCTGTGGTTCCTTCCATATTCTGGGGTCCCTCTGCGATGCCCAGTTGTTGATTATCACCCTACTCTTTGCGGGGATGTCGTATCCTGATATCTTTACAGCTTTGTCCGTTATTCTCATGTATATTCCCGAGCCGTGTAGCCTCAGAGTTTCTTTGACCACGCATTTCAGGTACTTCATCTCAAGGATGTCTTCTTCCTCTACTCTCCCTTTGTCCCTTACGACCCTTCTGACTTCTTCTTTCGCTTTTCGAAGCACCCTCGGATGCTTCATGAGCTCTGCCATCGCCCACTCCATGTTCGATGGAAGTGAGTCTGTCGACGCCGAGAACATGCTCTGCATTGTACATGCAGAATATAACAGAAACCTAACCACTTTGATTTGGTTGGATGCTTGTAGACCAAGGAACACAGAGGCAAAACATGTAAAAAATTAACTGATAAGGCTTACTTGTAAGATTCCCTTGATGTTTTGACGGTCCAGCTCAATATCCAGCTTCCCTTCTCTCTGCAAACTGATAAGAACATAGGCAAAGTTCATCCTGTGAGGCTTTAAGCCACCATCGATTTTGTCGGTTTGATCGCTCATCATTTGCTCCATCAATCGATCCTGACGCTCGAATAAACGCCTCAGATCTGACCTGTATCCCCTCAACCCATCCATCCACCCTAACCACGGAAACATGTCTTCGAAGCAGAACTTTGCTGCCAATTTCTGAGCTTCCCTCACCAGCGCCTTGTAAGCCTCTCCGTAGGTTTTATCACCTGCGGCGGACCTGCACATCACGTTGACCGCGAAGCTGTAGAACAACTCGTTCATATTCACCGGTTTCTTTGGATTCGCTGTGATGGAAGAATCGATCTTTGAGATCATGTCATCGATCTCTTCCTCACGAATTAAACGCAGTTCTTTGACCATCTTATTGCTAAGGAGCTGGAGAAGGCAGATTTTGCGAGACTGCCTCCATGCATCCCCATAAGGGCAGAAGACAACGTCGCGAGCCTCGTAAGAGAAGAGGAAAGTAGCGTAGAAGCAAGGGCGGGCGGAGAAGGAGATGTCGTGGTTCTTGATAATCTCTTGGAGAGGTTCGAAGGACTGGACGACGAGCGTCGGGAAGCTGCCGAGGTGGAGGAGGAAGAGAGGGCCGTGTTTGAGGGACAAATGGTAGAGAGACTGGTGGATGAGAGGGCCTATCTGATGGAGGTTTCCGATCAGCGGCAGCGTTGGAGGCGAGGGAGGAAGATTCAGCGTTTTGGCCGCGCGTTTGATGATAAACTTAATGCAGAGAAGAGAGAGTATTAGGAGGAGAAACATGAAGTTGATCATGTTTAGGGAAGAAGAAGAGAACAAGTGCTCCATGTTGGTCGTGTTCCTACGCATGACTGTGAGATTTTATAAAGAAACCTCGAGGTTCCTTGGAGCATCTTGACTCTCTTGATTCTCTCTATTTACTGTTTGTAAGCTTGCTCCGGTAATATGTACAATTACGCTATTGCCCCCCATGCCTCGACGGCTGAACACATATAATGGGCTGGAACAATTTTAAAATTATATAATGAGATGGGCCGTTTCACACTATCAAATGAGCCTGAACCTAACCTTAATTGATGGAATTGGGCTCAATCGTGAGGACGGGCCTATACTTTGACATTAAAATCGGGAATTGTGACGATTCCTCTGTTCCTTTGTCCATAATCTGCACTTTTGGTTCTGTAGAGAAATTCTTCATCCTCTTCCTTATACAACAACAACAACAACAAAAAAGGGGATTTCTGCCCCGCTAAATTAGTATGCATATTAATTTTAGCTTTCAAAAGGGTAAGGGTGTAAGCATCGGAGCAAGTGAAGATGTTCATCATATGGGAATCCGTAGATTCAGTGAAGGAGTTTTAATCATATGGTTAAAGGAGTTGATCATCACCATTTGACTCAATGCCCAACAATCATGTTGACGTCACATTGACCACTTTCTACCGACCAATTTAGAGACAGCAATATTATGGACCTTCGGTTTTTTCTCCTCCTTACAAGTCAAAAAACTAGTTCAGCTAGAATGTCCCTTCACTGTTTTACATAGATGACAGTGTATATTACGCGACATGTTTCCTTCAATGTCATGCACATGTGCATGTTTATGTGCCTTTTGGGTAGGCAAAACATCCAAGGTAGGGCACAGCATATACATACACATATATGTTCTTCGCGTCCTAGACTGAATGTGAAGTATAAAAGGTGTCTGCCGCCGGATCAACTTCTTCTGCTCCCATTAAAAAGTAGTCATAGTAATTTTGGTCCTCCAAGTACTCGAACCACTCGTTGTTGTATTCGTGACCCGATCCAAAGTCGCTACCGTTTGGACACTTATGTATGTTAGTATCACCATTGCTAGATGCAAAAGAGCCAAGTCCCTCGAGCCGATCCCAGAACTCTGCGTCGAATTCGAGTGGGACTTGTAGCGACCCGGATTTGTTGATTGCATCTTGGATCTCGCAACATGTCCTTCCAAACTGGCACGACATGTCCATCTGGCAAAGAGGGAGTTCGAGCAAGTGTTGTTTATGCACCCCTTGAATTGCTCCGTTTGTTTCGAGAAAAGTTGCTCCAGTCTCACGCCATATATCAATCTGGTGATGATCAGGAGAAAGCGGTTTGTATGCTTCAAACTCGCATGTCTGGTGATTATTCTCCACATCGCAGGAGATTGAAGAAGTAGGCAATCCTTTGATAGGCTCATCTCCAATCAGATTAAGAAGCTTATCGTCATGAGGCTTGGCAGCTGATGATGAATTCCCTTCTTGACAGTGGATGCTTTCCTTAACCCCATCGTAGTGCTCGGCTTCATCTAGTTTAGCGCTGTGTCCACCACAAGAGGAGGAGGAGGAGGAGGAGTCCTTTGGCGATTCACTTGGGGCCAACTTTTTCTTCAGATGAGTGTTCCACATGTTCTTGATCTCGTTATCTGTTCTTCCAGGCAAGTAGGACGCAATCTTTGACCACCTAATTAAGATGTTGATCAAGCAAGTTCTCTTTCTTAGGATTGAATTCTTGAGATGTAAAAGTAAAGTATTGGCTGCGCCTGAATCATGTAACCAAAGTGTCCCAAGGACAAATCCTCAGAGTTGCATGCAATATATATACTATTTGTCTCATGGGTTTAGCTTATGATAAATATATATATATATATATATAGTTAAGGGAAGGAAGGTACTTGTTTCCAAGAGCTCGATGGAGTTTGACGATTGTGTCTTCTTCCTCTCCGGTGAAGTTTCCCCTCTTGACGTCCGGCCTCAAATAATTGATCCATCTCAGACGACAACTCTTCCCACACCTCAGCAATCCTATACATATCACTACTCTTTTTATATTCCGGATTTATTGATTATAAGAGGAGATGCGCATTTTTTAAGTTGATTGAACAAAACATAATTGTAGGTTTATACGGCAAAAACTATAGAATCGGTTTCCATAATTTGCTGCATATATATATATACAATATTAAATAAAAAGAGAGAGGAGGGGGAGACCGGCTTGTTTGGGAAGAGCCCTCCAGTTATGGTGGCCGTGTTTCTGTATGAAAGCGATGAGCCTGAGATCCTCACAAGGACTCCATGGCCCTCTCTTCACTTTGCTCTTGTCGCAGCACGGCGCTCTTCCCTTCCCCATTTTCCCTTTTTCTCTCTCTTCTTATATATGCATATGTGTGCAGCTGGTCTTGATTCGATGAATATATCTAATCTCCAGGAGATGTCTCTTATACTCTCAAATCCCAGGAGATAAATGAGAATCTGGGAGCAAAACAACACGTACGTGTATTTTATACATTGGATGTGTGTGAATAGTGTTGATGATGTGATCCCACAGGGGTCATGCCACTAATTACAAAGAAGGGCATTTGAGCCATAAATAGAAGAAAATCCGTACTCATTCATGTCATACCTATTCTCCTATTATTATTTAATTACTCGTCCATGGCCATGCATATGTAAGCTTTTCCTTTTTTATTCCTACCCATCCATACATTCTTGCATTAAAATCATTTGGCTATTTTTTCCCCATCTCTTGTAATGGAGCATAAAGTCCACTCAATGAAATCTACGAAGAACAAAAAAGAAACCACAGGGGGTCCCCTTAAAAAAGAAAGAAAACACTGCTTATTGTGTAAAAATATACGCACATGTTTTCCCAAAGAAGGATGAGTTAAAAAAGATTGTACTAATCAGATAAAATTTCCCAAAAAAATACGACGAGAATTTGTGGATTTCCAAATCAGTCGCCTAAATGGATGCACTTGCAAAACAGTTGTCGTGCTCGGACAAAAACTATTACGCTCCATGCCTTCGCTTGTTTTACATCAAGTCCACAAGTTGAGGGAATCCGCCACGTCACCCTTACATCACCCACACGTTTCGCTATCGATATATCACCACTCTCATGTGTGCGCGCATTTGTTTTTTACATATTACCGCCAATTTCTACGCATATATTAAATCGAGCAACTATGTTAATAATTATCCAAAAAAGTAGTAATAATAATAACGTAGCAACTAAATTAATTAAATAAAATAATTATTTTAATATGTACCAAACGAGTTTACACAATCTAACCCCCTAAGTTCCCAACTTGAACGTCCATGTGTAAGATTCGCGGCTTCGTTCGTGACGCAGAGCCTTGATTATTTTTGCTCCATATTCGATTATCTAAATCACAATAATCAAAAGGCACGGAACACACTAACATTTTCGTCACTCTTGTTTGTTTTTTATAAACACAATTATTTCAATATTTATTTTTTTGCTCAGCAGTATAATTCTATCAATGCTTTGTGCCTCACATATATACACACACAAATATATGGCCGACAGTAAAAATATACATTTTATCATAATGTTTTCTTGGTAATATGTTGTATCAAAAGGCTTGTTAAACGTTATCCAATTGTTTTAAATTATCCAAGGATTTTGTTAGTTAGTGTCTAATTTATTATATACATGTATACAAAATGTAGATAGATAATATAGTGCTCGTCACTGATTATTATTATTATTATTATAAAAAATAATCTGTTAGGTGGCGAGAATTGAGGAAAGTCGTAGAGTTAGGGAAACCAACACTAAAAAGGGAATTCACCATTTGCTACCAAATCTAATAGCCTCCCTTAGTTTATTATTAGTTATTTGATTTGTATTTTTATTTTAAAAAAACCCACCACCAATGTACTCAGTTTTAAGAAATTTACGCGATAATAACCATTGATTTATTTTCTTGCCATTGATTTATTTTATTGTTTAACTGCAAGTTTGACTTAACGCACGACGGGGCCATAGAATTTCAATTGTTTAAGAGTTTGGGCCCAATAATAAACATATATTACGCTTGCATTAGGTCATATACTGTCGTTAACTCTCCATTAATTGACGTGTGTCATGGCAAATATTAGCCAACATCCACGCCTCTCAAGACTGAATCTGATTGCTTTAAAAAAATCTAGTAATCTATCGTTTTCGATATTTGAAAGCGTCTATTTTAGTTTAATTACCTATTTAATCACGTATATTTTATCTAGTTTTGTCTTTTCTGACGCGCTGCTTTTGTCGGTTTGATTTAGATACACATTCTTCTCATTTATAACTACTTTACCATACATACATTCATAACTTGAAATCCATATAAATGAAATAGAAAACGTAATAGAGATAGAAGAAATCTTGAAATTTTTGGCATATATATATTGAGAAAATGCATGTTGAAGAAATACTCTGTTTAGAGTAAAAGGTCTTGGTTCGAATCAGAGAACCGAGTCAGATTAAACTGAAATTTAAATCGGAATCGGAATGCAGCATTTCATTAATGTGGTAATAACTCACTATAAAACGACGCAGTATTGAAGGAAGAGCACTATTCGAAGACTCTTATAAAAGGAGAGGGTTCGTTAAGTTCGTTTTACAGAGAGTTCTTCTTTGGGGTTTTCTGTTCTTGGTTGAAATCGACGATTCTCGGGTTGTGAGATCGATCGTTCTTGCAACCAGACAATCACAATAATGAATTGAAGAAGCTCTCTCAGCCGAGACGTAGGATTCACACTGAATCCGAACTCGTAAAATCCAGCTGTGTCATTTCATTTTCTGTCAATCTTCATTATCATTTCAGTAGTTCAATTAGGGTTCAGGAAAGACAAGTGGTATCATAGCCTGGTTGGAGATGATAAGATCTTCAATAGGAGACAAGGAGGTCTTTCGCCAGTTTTGAATTCTTTAATGCAGTTCAAGAAGTCAAGAGCTCAACCGAGATTTGGTTGGAGACAGGGAGGTCTCTCGCCAAAGAAAGATATCTTGACGCAGTTCAAGAATCTGAAACTTGGGATACAATAGGATGACTGCAATACCGGTTGTGGTGAAGCTTGACGTCGAGAAATATGATGGAAAATCGGATTTCTCGTTATGGAAAGACAAAGTATTGGCAAGTCTGGAGATTCTCAGGCTCCATGAGGTGCTCGATGAAAAGTATCTCTCAAAGGATATCGAGAACAAAGGAGAGACAAAGGAAAAGGGCACCAACGAAGAACACAACTCAAAGGAATCCACAGAACATATGGACTCAAGGTATGAGAAAAGTAGAAAAGTTAGAAATCTTATCTTTCTATGTTTGACTGATCAAATCATGAGAAGGGTTAAGAATGAGCAGACCGCCTCCGGGATATGGAAAACACTCGAGAAAGAGTACTTGAACAAGTCCATGTCGAGCAAGATACACCTAAAACAGAAGCTTTTCGGGTTCAAGATGGATGAAGAAAAGTCTATCGAAGACAACCTTGACAATATCAGGAAGTTGGTGACAGATTTGGAGAATCTCCAAGTCGAAGTTTCTGATGAGGATCAAATAATATACCTTCTGAATTCCTTACTAGAACGGTATAACCAGTTAATGGATACCCTAAAATACTCAAGGAAGGATGATGTTACCATGGATGTGATAATCTCGGCAATCATCACAAAAGAACTCGAGTTAAAGTCAAGGAACAAGGTACACACAAGGGAAAGACTGATTACAAAAGGAAAAACTGGTAAAAAGGACACAAAGTCTCAGAAGGGAAAACCAAAGGATCAGAAAGATTAGAAGGAGAAATCTGAGTTTGGTTGCTGGTTTTGCAGAAAGGAGGGACACTTCAAACGCGACTGTCGAAACAAAAAAAGAATGCTGGAACAACAATCCAAGAAAACGGGAGAAGCAACGAATGTCACAGATAAAGACTTTGAAACAGAAGTCTTGACAGTATCTGATCAGAGTCCGGAAGATAAGTGGATAATGGATTCACAGTGTACATTTCACATGTTACCCCATAAAGAATGGTTTCTCAACATTGAGAAACAAAATGGAGGCAAGGTGCTCATGGGAAACAATGGCTCTCTTGTGAAATAAGAGACATTGGGGAGGTTAAACTACAACTTCACGATGGGAGTGTCAAGCATCTGAGTAAAGTAAGGTATATACCTGACTTAAAAAGGAACTTGATATCCCTAGGATCACTAGACAAGCTCGGAATGGGCTACAAATCAGAAAATGGAGTGCTTGAGGTGTTCAGAGGAACCAAAAAGTATAATTACAGGAAAATTTGAAGGAAGCCTCTACATTCTGCAAGGTGAAACAGTGGTGGCCGAATCTCAAGTAGTAACAGACTCAGAAGAATCAGAACTTTGGCATCTCAAACTGGGTCACATGAGTGAAAAGGAACTACAAATACTGTCACAAAGAGGATTGCTAGGAAAAGAGAAACTTGCAGGAATACCATTATGTGAAAGCTGTGTGATGGGAAAACCCACAGGCTAGCATTCTCAAGAGGCAAACATGTATTTAAACAAAATCTGGATTTTATATACATTCAAATTTGTAGAGTTCATCAAGTGTAACCCCAACTCTCGAAAGGGCTCAATATCTGATCTCATTCATAGATGATCATTGAAAGAAACTTTGGATTTATCTGCTAAAATCAAAGGACGAGGCTTTCTCTAAGTTCTCAGAATGGAAATCTATGGTAGAGACTCAAACAAAAGCATTTAAGAACTGACAATGGGTTAGAATATTGTAACCAATATTTTGATCAATTTTGTAGAGAAAATGGAATCAAGAGGCATAGAACATGCACATACACTTCACAAAAAAAAGGAGTAGCAGAGAGAATGAATAGGACTCTGATGAACAAAGTCAGAAGCATGTTATCAAATTCAGGATTAGGGCAGGAGTTTTGGGGAGAAACTGCGGCAACAGCAGCTCACCTAATAAATCTGTCACCATCAAGCGCAATCGAGATTAAGATACCTGATGAGGTCTGGTATGGAAGAGAACCTTCATTAAAGGATCTAAAACATTTTGGATGCGTTACCTATATGTACATGTCAGTCAAGGTAAGCTACAACCAATAGCTAAAAAAGGGATATTCATTGGTTACCCTCAAGGAACAAAAGGATACAGGGTCTGGCACCTAGAAGACTGAAAGGTACACATAAGCAGAAATGTTAAGTTTAGAGAAGACTTGACATTCAAAGATATCAAAGTCACAGAATCAAGACCTACAGACAAAGGAGAAGAACCAGTGGATCATTCAAGATTTGGTATAGCAAATGTACCAGATGAAACACAAATTTTGAGCCAAGACTTAGAGACTTTAGCTCAAGGTGGAGCTGATGGAGAAACTGTAGATGAGGAAACATAGCAGTTTGAAGAAGAAGGGATCCTGGAACTACCAGAAAAACAGAACTTGGAAACTATAGAACAGACATCGGGAAATCTACAAGACTACCTGTTAGCACGAGACAGGGAAAGGAGAGAAATCAGACCACCCTCAAGGTACAGAGAGGAG